GCCTCCCACACCCAGCACCATGCTGGTTTAGTTCAGCTGGGTGTTAGGAGTTGACCACCAGTTGTCAATCCATGACAGGTGGGTCCCTCCATGAGCCCATTTCACAGATGTGGCAAGTGGCAGCAGTGAGCTGGAAGGAACCACCAGGCATCATCTCCCTAGGGCAGGAGGGTTGGACCTCTTCCTCCCTGCTGGGCCCCCAAAGGGAACCCCAAAAGATACAAAGGGAACCCCAAAAGATACAAAAGAACTGGGGGAAGAGGCCAGGTGTAGTGGTGCACACCTGTCATCCCAGCACTCAGGAAGCTGAGGCAGGAGGATCCCCTTGAATTCAAGGCCAGCCTGAACTGCATAATAAGACCCCAACTCAAAAAATAAAACAGCTAGGGAGGAGGCTGCACAGGTGGGGGGAGGGCTGGCTCCGCCGAAGAGGAAGTGAGAAGACAGGTGCCAGAGGCCGTGCTAGTGCACTCGCGGTGGGTACACAATGTGCAAGCCAACATGGCGCTCCTCGCGCAGCACCCCCACTCGCAGCCATGCTCCCCGGGGCCCCTATGCCAAAGGGCCCTGCCTGCCGCCCTGCACACGGGCGCTGAACGACCTCATGGCCCAAGAAGTCCACAGCGTCTTTGAACCTGAGCATCCCCAGGGTCTGAAACCCACAGCCTGGCAGCTGGGGTGCCCCACGGAGGCCCAGAGAGGGACTGGGAGTTCCCCCAAATCCCACAGGAGCCAGGCACCCTAGAGAGACCCCAGGCCACCACTCCGGGTGCTCTCTGCTCCCGTCGCGTGGCCTCCCTGTCCGAGGTGACTCCGGGGAGGGACCCTGCTCGGGTCACAGGCCCCGGCGGCTGCGGGCCGGTGTCGGGGCCTGGGCCCCCCGCCTCACCCGTCCTGCCCACGCCTCACGTGCTTTTGACGCTGGAGATACTGGACAGGGGCTCCCGCATCCTGAAGCTGAGCGACCGGGAGCCCCGAAAGCTGTCCCTGGGCCTCAGCGAGCTGTCGGTGGTGGACGCCCCGGAATGGGCCTCGGTGGCCCTGGCCAGGCAGTCCCCGGGTCCCCGCAGGCCCAGCCGCAGACACCCGCAGCAGAGGGCGGCCAGCACCGCGCGGCGCAGCTCCCGGCTGCGGAACGTGTAGATGAGTGGGTTGATGGCCGAGTTGGACACGGCCAGGGCCAGGATCAGGTCCATGCCGCGGAGGTACTCCTGGGCCCACACGTTGGTGCCCGAGACGTCGGCCAGCAGCAGGCCGAGGAGCGGCCCCCAGCACACCAGGAAGGCCACCAGGATCATGAGCACCGTCTTCAGGAGCCGCCGGGACTTGGAGCGGGCGGCGGGGCGCTGGGCCTTCTGCCTGTTGGCCCGGACCTCCCAGAAGATGGCGCTGTAGAGAAACAGGATGGCCACCAGGATGCACGCGAAGACCCCCACGCAGAAGAGGATGTAGGTCTTGGCGTAGAGCGGCATGAGGCCGGAGCAGCTCTCGAAGGCGCACACGCAGTTCCAGCCCAGCAGCGGCAGCAGCCCCAGCAGCACGGCCAGCAGCCAGCACAGGCCGATGCAGCCGTACACGCGGCCCCGCTTGGTGGCCCGGCTCTCGGCCATCCAGGGCCGCGCCATGGTGGCGAAGCGCTCGCCCGCGGTGAGCAGCAGGCTGAAGGTGGAGGCGGCCAGCGCCGCGAAGAGCAGCCCCTCCCGCAGGAACCACTGCGCCGGCGTCAGCAGGAAGGTGCGCGCGCCCGACAGCAGGACGTTGGTCAGGTAGGCGAGGCCGGTGAGCAGGTCGCTCAGCGTGATGTTGACCAGGCAGTAGTAGACCCAGCGCCGCGAGCGCATGTGCGCGGCGATGGCCACCAGCACCAGCAGGTTCTCCAGTACCACCAGGCAGCTGATGGCCACCGACAGTCCGCGCAGCGCGCCCAGGCTGCTGTCCTCGGGGCCCCCGCGCCCCGCCAGCCGGCCCGAGTGGTTGTAGTGCAGGATGATCAGGCGGTTGTGCCCACCGGCCGCCAGCTGGTAGCAGGCCTCAGGGGGCACCGGCGGTGGAGGCCACCCGGTGGTGTTCATGACCTCCCCGGGGGACAGACTGAGGTCCCAGGCAGGCAGGGTGGAGTCGCCTGCTTCTCCTGGTCTTGGTTTCCTGTTATTTGAAATTTCCTGTTGTGTTCAAGGTACCCCCAGGGTGGGGGTGAGAGCAGGGAGGGGCACCCCAACGGCTGCTGGCTGTGGGGAGGGGCCCAGTGACAACGGCTGGGGACAGCCGTCCTCCACGGTGACACGGACGTCCTCCCGGAAACAGGAGGGGAAGCAGTTGCAGAAGCACAGATCCTCAAGGGCGGTGGGCTGCAAACAGTCTGCGCCACACCTCCCCAGCGGGACACCTGCCCCTGCCCCAAAGCTCCCCCTCCCTGACCCCCACCTTCTCCCCAGCAGCTCCCAGCTTGCACGTATACAGTGGGCGCTTCATAAGTGCTTATCTGTGCACACCCATGATCACCCTGTTGTGTGCACACTGCCGGGCCAGGTTTGACTTGGATGGTCTGCTCGCTCACAGAAGGGGAAGCTGAGGCTCACAGAGGTGACCCCACCAGGCCCGGACACCCCTTGGGGTTGGTGGCTGCACTGCCAGCCCCTGAGCTCCCCTGATAGGAGCAGTGCTGGACCCTGGAGGCCCCTGGGCCCGGAAGAGAGGAGGCACACAGAGTGCCCCCCCCCCCCGTGTCTCCACAACACCGGCTGGGGTGACACAACTTGAGACGGTTGTGGGTGGGAAGGCGGAAGAGGCTCTGTGCACCCCGGAACCCTGACTGCGAACAGCAGGAGCGGGCAGAGGGGTTGCTCCCTGCCTGCCCTGTGCCTGGGACCCCGCTGCGCCCCATTAGGGTTTGGGGTGTGGTGCAGCAGCCACGGCAGTGAGAGGAGGACCCAAGACTCCTCAGCCACATCCAGTCCTCGGCCAGGTCCCCTCCTGCCCCCAGCCCACATCGCCATGAGCTGTCCTGAGCCGGGGGACGGGCGGCCACACCAGCTCTGCCAGCACTGCCCCCCACGGGCACGGGTGTGCCAGGGGACATGCATCTCAATGAAAGGGACAGGTGTCCCACAATGTCCCAGGGTCCCCACGAGAAGCCAGAGCATCCCCAGGGCTGGAAGGGGGAGAAGGCTGAAGAAGCCCTGCCCCCATCCCCTCGTTTACGGCGCCGCCACAGCAGGGCGGGGACGGGGAAGCTGAGCAAGGCTGGCAGCGAAGGAGCCCACATCTGGTCACCGGAGGTCACAAAGACACGCAGCTCTGAGCCCCAGTGCCAGTGTGGATCGTGCACACTTGCCTAGCATGCACAGGGCCCTGGGCCCCGTCCCTGGCACGATCTGTCAAGGCAGACTGTGAAGAGCAAGACAAGGTCTACACACAGGACAGCAGCTGTGCCATGGCCCTGAGTGGAATACTACACAGTGGGGTAAAAGCACCAGGAAGTTCTCCATAAGGGGAACAGACTCAGTGACATATTTTTTCATTTTTTGAGACAGGTTCTTGCTACATAGTCCAGGCTGGCCTTGAACTCACTATGGTCCTCCTGCCTTAGCCTCTTGGAGTGCTGAGATAACAGGTGTGAGGCACCAATGCTTGGCACCCAGGATATGTCGTCAGGTGGAAAAACAGTTAAGCCCCAAAGCACATGCGGTAGCCCAGTGTGGGGTGCCTCGCTGCAATCCCAGCACTCTGGGAGGCTGTGGCAGGAGGATCACCACGAGTGCGAAGCCTGCCTGGAATACATGGTGAAACTCTGTCGCAAAAACAAAACACAGAGCCAGGCGTGGTGGCACACGCCTGTAATCCCAGCACTCGGGAGGCTGAGGCAGGAGGATCATTGCAAGTTTGAGATCAGCCTGGGCTACAAAGTGAGCTCAAGGCCAGCCTGAACTGCACAGTGAGACTGTCTCAAAAAGACAAAAAAGAAAAGAAAAGAAAAGAAAAAGAACACAATGAAATGGAGGGGAAAAAATGATCCAGGGCTACTACGGGCAGTCGGGGATAATCTAAGACGAGCCTGGAAAGTCCCTGGAGCCAGAAAGTCAGGACATGCTCAGGGGAGGGTGGGACCCCTGGGGACACACTAGGCTCACCAGTGAGTGACCTCACCATATGCCCCAGCAACCCACTCCCCAGCGTCTGCACAAGAGAACTCATAACCCATCCACTCGGAAACGTGCACAGAAATGCCCCAGCAGCAAAAGTCAAATCCCCTGGAATGGAAAAACCCAAGTGTCCTCCAACTGGCGAATGGATACACACAAGGCGACCTGTCCACACACTGGACTATTACTAAGCCAGGAAAAGGCAGGAACTCCTGACGCTGCCACAATGTGGACAGACCTCGAGGACATTGTGTCTAGGAAGCTGAGCCAGACATGGAAGGACCCGAAGCACAGGGTCCCACTCCCAGGAGGCCCCAGTGTGGTCAGAGCCACAGAGACGGAAGGAGGGCGGCAGTGCTGGGCCGGGGAGGGGACAGGAGTCGGCATTTCCTGGGGACAGAGGCTCAGCTGCGGGAGGTGGGAAGTCTTGGGGGCGGACAGTGCGGGCAGCAGGTGTGGGATGCGCACCACGCCACTGAGCTAGGCACTTGGAAATGGTGAAGATGATACATTTCATTATGTGCATTTCACCACAATAGAAATAGTCCTTTTTATAATTAATAGCAATACTGGAACAAGCGACAGAATGTCCAGTCCTGGGAATTAGAGAATATTAACGAGTCAGCAAATTTCCTGCTGCTGACCACCGCAGTGATTATGTAGGAGACACCCTTGCCTTTGGGAGGTGCCTAGTGCTTTGGAATATACGATGTCTTCACCCTAGTCTCAACATACTGAGGAAAAATTTAAGAAAAAGTAAAAATAGCCAATTTGAGGGTGTATCCATGTAATCCCAGCGTGCAGTGGGAGGCTGAGTCAGGCAGATTACCATGAGTTGATCACAATATACGGTGAATGCTTGAAATTTTAAAAATGTATTATAGTAAAAGCCACATTGCCACGAGTCCCCCTCAAAACCCTCCCCATCATTTTGCACACGTGGATACCATCATTCTGGCCATTTTCTGAGCAGTTCTAGGGTGAGTTTTCCCAAGCGTCTTTACAAACTGTGATTAAAAAATACAGGGACTGTCCAGTGGGTGTGGTGGCGCACGCCTGTAATCCCAGCACTCAGGAGGCTGAGGCAGGAGGATCGTTGTGAGTTCGAGACCAGCCTGGGCTACAAAGTGAGCTCAAGACCAGCTTGAACTACATAGCGAGACCCTGTCCCAAAAACACCAAAAAAAAAAAAAAAAATACAGTGACTGCTGCTGCTGAGCGCCGTCCAGCGGAAAGGCACTTGTAAGCCCATGTTGCTGTCCTCATTTACCTCAGTCTGGTACTGTGCAACTTCCGGCGCCTCCCCAGAGCCAAAGTGACCGTGAAAGAGAAATGCTCTGGATCCATCAGGACAATGGGGCATCCAGGACAGCGCAGCTGAAGACTTGGAAGAGGACGCACCGGCTGCGCCGCGGGGCAGAGCTCGCTCTCCTGCATGCCGGCCGCCAGCCGCCCAGCACCACTTGCCTGAGAGGCTGTCTCTTCTCCAGTGGGAGTTTGTGTCCCCTTTGTCGGAGATCAAATAGTTGACTGTCCTGGGGTAGTTCTACTTCCTTTATTCTGTTCCACTGATCCTAATGTCTGCTTTTGTGGGAGCCATTTTTTTGTTTTTGTTCTTTTCTTTTTTGAGACAGGGTCTCCCTATGCAGTTCAGGCTGGCCTTGAGCTCACTTTGTAGCCCAGGCTGGCCTCCTGCCTCAGCCTCACGAGTGCTGGGATTATAGGTGTGCGCCACCATGCCTGGCCAGCCATGCTGTTTCTGTCATGGTATCTTTGTAATATAATTTCAAATCCAGGGTTCTGATGCTTTGCTCTTGTTTGCTTTGTTCTTGTTTCCCAGAATGGCTGTTGCTCTTCTGACTCTCTCCTGGTCCCACACACATTTTAGGGTTGTTCTCTCTAGCTTTGCAAGGAGTGCTGCTCGTTATTTCGGTTGGGTTTGCACTGGATCTGCATATCAGTCTGGAAAAACTGGTTGTCCACATGCAAAAGATTGAATCTATATCCATATCTCTCACTATGTACTAAAACAGAATAAAATGGATCAAAGATCTAAATCTTAAAACAGAAACAATCTGCTGGAAGACAAAATAGGTAAAACTTTTTTTGTTTTGCTTTGAGACAGGGTCTTGATATGTAGTTCAGGCTGGCCTTGAACACACTATGGAGTAGAGGATGGTCTCCAACTAACAGTGATCCTCCTGCCTCAGCCTCCTAAGTGTTGAGATTGCAGCAAAAATAGGTAAAACTTTTGAAGATATAGGTGTAGCCAAGGACTTTCTGAACAGAACCCCAATTGCACAAGAAACAACACCATGAATCAACAAAAGGGATCATATCAAATAAGATGCAACAACAGGGTTGGGGATATAGCTCAGTGGCATAAGCGCCTGCCAGGCAAGTGCAAGGTCATGAGTTTGATCCCCGGTACCGCAAAAAAAGAAAAAAAAAAAA